GAAAGAAAGAAAGGAAGGAAGGAAGAAAGGAAGGAAAGAAAGGTAGACAGGCAAGCAAAGGAAGCATTTAATCTAATATGTAACAATATAAGAATTTCAGGTGTAGAAAATTAAAACTTAATATGAATCTAAAGGTATCTGTCAGGTTCCTAGACCAACAGTTCAGTGAATGTGTAGCTCCTGCTTTTTCCTTCTGTTCAGTTAGATAAACTTGCTCCTCCCATTTCATCAGACACAGGTAGGTGAACCACAAGTGAATGTGCTATTGGCTTTGCTCATCTCTTACAAAGCATGAAACCTCAGGCCCATCCCCATGCTGCACCACACTTCCATGCTTCTCTCAGCTCCTGCAGTGATCTGAGAACCATCCTCAGTGCAATGGAGACATCAGACATGCTTTGCACATCAGTGCTGTCCTGAGAATTGTCCTTGGACTGGTACCTTCCCAAATTCTTTGCTATCAGTCAGCAACAAGAAAAATACACAAATGAAGTGTAAGAGTTCAGAAAACCTTTTATAGCTCTTTAAAAGAGTAGTAACTTTGTTTCTTTTAAAATTTGGGCTTACAATTTTTATATCTTTAGATTTTTTTATTTTGTTTGCCCGACAAGGTATCTTACAAAAACATTGCCCATGCTGAATTGACCAAAACTACAGAAGCTAATTTTTCACTCCAAGTAAGAGGACAGGCACTAAGTAGAATCTTTTACAGGCATGTGCTTTGCCTGCAGGTCTTATTAAAAAGTTGCTTTGGAGTCAATGTGTCTCAGGTTGTCTACATTCCTAACAATCTCCAAGGTGATACCACCACTGCCATCTCAGACAAGTATTTTGACTAGCAAAGACTTTATACAAAAGCTTTTCATAAGCATTTTCCACCCACATTTATTGCAATGGAGATGAGAACATGAGAATGGTTCCTGCTAAAGTTCTTCTCTAGATATTCAATTATTAAAGCCTGACAGTGTTATTTTGCAAAAGCATTCTTTAATACATACTAATCATTCAAGTATATTTTCCACCAAAAGTGATATTGTTTAAAAAATTTCTAACTGTGAGTTTAAAATTTCCAAACAATATTCAACACAAACACATCCTAATTGAGCAAAATAAGATACGGACGTATCTCTGCAGGCTTCCTTCAGGTAAGCAAGCAGCGAGCCCCTGACCATGCACCCTGAGCAGGAAGAAGGGGACCTCACCGCGGTGGGGGTCGCGTCCCGTGTGAAGATGGGCCAGGCCTTCCAGCTCATGTTGTGGTGGTATTGCTGGTGCACGTGCTCCCCCAGCCCGTACACGTAGGTGCTGGGCAGGCGGAAAGATAGCTGCAGGTACTGATAGGCAAACTGGAGCGGCCCAATGCCTGTGTCCAACCTGGGCCATGGCGGGAAAATGAAGGTCACTGAATCGCTCTCTTATCTCTGCCAGGAAGCTGTTTGCACCTTTCCACATTCACTCAGCCATCAGCTCTAGGTGTTTTCATCCATTCTATGTTACCCTGGAAGGCCTTTCCAGGGCATCTCTGGTTCTTTGAATCTAGGGGAGCACAGTACCAGTGACAGACACCAGAGGCTCAGGTTGGGAAAAGAGGAAGTTTAACTTCTTATATGCTGTGCATCTTCTGCATCCCAGATACCATTCTGGATATTTTCTAAATATTATCTCATTTTCCCTAGCAAAAGCAGATATTTTGGTCCTCATTTTATGGACAAGAAAATCGATGCTGAAGAGGTGACACATATCGCTGACTGGTAATTTGCTAGTGCCAGGATTTGAGTATAGGTTTTACTGCTATGAGTGCTTGAATTTTCTCCAGGACAATTGGTGATGTAAATTCAAACTCTTTTAGGTGCTTGATGGTAAGATTCACAGAAAATAATACTTTGGAAGGATAAACAGGGAACTTTCAGTTCCAGAATAAATGATAATTCAAAACAATAAACTCCTTACTTCATAATATATGTGAACTATAAGCATGTATATACTTATATAACTTAGTAAATTAGTGCATTACATTTTAGTACTCTTTGCTCTACAATGATGACAGATTATCATCGTTAATTAGTCAGAGTAAAAAATTTACATATTTATGAAGGGCAGCATGTATATTTTAAATCATACTTATCTTACTTCATACCCAGAATATGTTGGAATGAGTGATACTGGAATCTTATATTGAAAAATGTGCAAAGAATGTTGAAAAGCTCACAAGACTTTTTTGTTGCTCATCCTCATTACTTTGATGCTGAAGGGCTTATTGGTGACCTCTATGTGGTAGCTCAAACCGGAGGTATCAGCAGTTCCATTACTGGGCTTGATGTTTTCATGGGGTACCTCATAACGAATCTCATTGGCATCAGTAATCTGTCAGAAAAAAACAGAAGGAACAGCTCCAAGTAAGACCTCTTCCTTGTGGAGCTACATCCCCCATGAGAATAGCTTCTGATTCTTTTTTTTTTTTTTTGGTACCAGGAATCAAACTCAGAACCTTATGCTTGCCAGGCAGCCATGGCCTATTGAGCTACATTCTCAGCCCTAGCTTCTGATTCTTGACCTTAGGGCTCTTTGTTTGCAAAAAGAAATCACTCAACCACTGTGCCCTGTTAAATAAAAATTACCCTGCCCACCCCATCCCTAGATTCCTTTATTGAGGAATGGAGGTACTTTCTGCTTCCACACATTTGCATGGAACATAGTGGAAAATCGTATTAACCCAGGGTAGGGAACTCCCAGGACTGGTTAACTCCAAAACCAACCTTAAAGCGAAAACGATTGGATGTCTGAAATTCGGCAGTGAAGAGGGCATCAGTTACATCATTTCCAAATAAAGATGGGGATGGCACTTTTTTCAACTGGGCAGTAAACCCTAGAATAGGAAGAGGCATGCAAGAGAGAGACTTTTAACTTTTATTTTGCAGTAAACTCATCTGATTCACAAAGTTTTTCCCCTGGGGCTACACTGCGGTAGTGCTCACCTGTGCTTGTATTTCTAAGGCCACTGCTGACTTCATAACCCCAGTTCCTGGGGAAGAAGCACTTAGGAGCATTGGTATCTGCCACAGGATCCCAACAGCACTTATACTGCCTCCTGCAGATATCCTGTAATGATAGGCATAGAGTTGGCATTATTCAGAATAAAGGAAGGAAAGCATTATTTGACCATTTCTTTATAAACTATTTTATTTCAAGAGGAATTTAAGATAATTACATTCATCATTTATTTATTCTTTATCTATTTATACAGCTATGGAGACATTCAAAATGCATTTATCAACCAGACAAGGAATTGATAACATAGACAAATAAGATATAGTAGTGTGTGCCTTCAGCAAACTTACAGGCTAGCAAGAAATCAACACAATTTAAAGTGATTACAGTATAATGAGTTATGTCCTCCAAGAGACTGTAAGGGAAGCCAAGGGAATATGCACTCCAGCCATCGCACTGGGCCAGTAGACTGACAGTAGGATGGAAAGGGCTTCCAGATAGGAAAAACAAAAATTCACTCCTAAGGCCCCAGAAACTGTCAAACAGGTGAACAGTAGAAAGGTACTCGAAGCAGAGAAGATAGCAATACACAGTCCACTGAAAAACACAAATTTACTATGCTGAGAACATTGAGTAAGAATAATGAGCATAGAAAGACCAAGAGGATATAAATGGAGTTATTGACTCATAACTGGGAGGGGGATTTGGAAAAACAGAAAAAGCATGGCTAAGGACTACTCTGATTTATTCTGTACATCACTATAATGTCTGAACTTCTATTAAAGGAATGTATTCAGTATAGATTGTGTTATTCAAAAAATAAAGAATATGTCACAATGTGACTCATTTGCAAAAGGTATAGTACTGACAAGTATTTTCAACACCAGCATCTGATATAATTTTTCTATAAAGCCTTTATATTGATATAATTTAAACCAGTGCCTACTATGAAAGACCACATTATAACCACAATATATATTTAAATATTTATTAATTCTCCATAGATCTAATTTACATTCTTGTCTCATTCTTTTCAGATAACAAAGAAAGGCTACTGGGGATCAGTAAAGAAAGCATTTGGGGTTCTGGATGGCCTCTGAATGATTGATTATCCTAAGTCCAAGGCAGACACTGATAACCTCTGCTACCTTGAAACTGGGGTCTGAGTTTGAGGTCTGAGTCCACAAGGTTAGTTTCATTTCCATAAATTGTTTCAAGGTCTATAAACCTCCATAAAAAGCAATGAACATTCAGATAAACATAATATTTTTGTGTACAATCAGCTCTAATATCCTTCTATCAGTCCCAGGCACCAAAGGTCAAACCTTATAGACAATTATTTTCTAATCCTTCAAACCCCATACATCTTCCATGTGTGTGTACAGCAGCAGTATTGCTTTCTTCCCTTTACATTCCCATTGTCATTACAGTATCACAAGTACTCATAAATTCATGCCTGAACTATCATGTTGACTCATAAGTCTCCTTGTCTCTATTCTTTCTTCAACACTAAACTTTCAAGACTGTCTCTACTTATCTTGCAAATAAATTCTATGTAATTTTTCAATCCAACATTATTCATCAGTATAATTTAAGAATTGAAAATTGACTTGGAGTTGATTGAGTCCACCTTCTATTTGATGAAATCATGTCTTACAAATGAAAGCATGTGTCTGCTATGTGCTTAAATTCTGTAAATGATATATAGCCAACTTCTTCCAAAATTAAGAAATTCTGCCTTTGTATTTAGTATTTTACTGCAATGATATTTCTTAAGTTTAGATAGGGTGAGCCTCCAGAAATATTCATTTTCTTTCTTCTTTTTTTTTTTTTTTTGGTACCGGGGATCAAACTCAGGTCCTGCTTAGGCAGTGGAACCATTGACTTACTCTATTCAAGTTGCCTTTTAGGTTACCTATCTCAAACCATATTAAAATTTTAAAAAGGGAAAGAAGTCTGATTATACTTATATGATAAGAAAATGGAATATATATAGAAAAAAACTATGTCATTATTTGTAGGTAACATTGACATATCAGAACACCCCAAATGATTTTACATAAAATTGAAAAGAATAAGTAAAATTAAGAAGATCTCTGGTTACAAGATCAACATTCAAATATCTATTTTAAATCTATGCCAACAGCAGAGAAGCAGAAAGTTTAGATTTAAAAATAGTACTTTTGGCTATTCCACTGCTCCCAGAAGAAAGGAATGGGGTTCTGGGCCACCACTCCACTGCTCCCAGTGCAGAGGAAGGGGCTTCAGGGTTGCTGTTCCACTGTACCCAACTCACAGGAAGAGAGTACTGGACCACCATTTCTCTGCTCTCAGCCAAGAGGAAGAGGCTTCTGGGCTACCATTCCACATGTGCCAGCTCAGAGAAGGTGAGCCACATGGGTACCAACAGCAGTCCCCCCCTTGGTCAAAATGTGAAGACATGTAAACAAATCTCAAAACCAAACTTTCAGATCACCTACAGCAATCCCAAAGGGAAATAAGATGGAACACTCTGATATTCAATGACCTGGACTCCCTGAACTGGCACAAAAGAGGATCTGGAAAAAATGAAATCAGAAATAATTTCTCAGATAACAAGAGAGATTTTGCTAGTAGTGCAAGACATGATTAATAAATCTAGAGAGGAGCTGAGGAACATGATGGAATTCCAGCATAGGAAACAAATGGAATCCATAAAGCAGATGCAAACAGATTTCCAGGAGATCAAAAACTCCATTGAAAGTCTACACAGCAGAATGAGCCAATGTGAGCATAGAATTTCATATATAGAAGATAAGATTGAAATTAGTGACCAGGAAAACAAAAACTGCTTCAAAACTGTAAGGGACCACGAGAAATCAGTCCAGCAGCTGGTAGACCATGCAGACAAGAATAACATAAGACTGATTGGAGTCAATGAAGAAACAGGAGAGAGTGCAGATGACATAAAAAAAATTGTTCACAGAAGTAATGGCAGAAAACTTCCCAAGCAGGGGAAAAGAACTTGACATACAGATAAGTGAGGCAACAGGACTCCAAATAGCCTGGATCAAAAGAAAAATCTACATATAGGCACATAATTGTTAAGATTCCAGAAACCCAACAGAAGAGCAAAGTTCTACAAGCAGTTGGAGAAAACAAACAAATCACATACAAAGGAAAGCCCATCAGAATCACAGCAGACTTCTCAATGCAAATGCTCAAGGAAAGAAGGGCTTGGAGTGACATATTCCAAGCCCTAAAGGAAAACAGCCTCCAAACCAGATTGATGTATCCTGCAAAACTATCTTTCAAAATTGATGGAGAAATAACATACTTTCGTGACAAAGAGCACCTTAGGAACTTCAGGAACAACAAACCAACACTCTAAAAAGTTTTAAACAATATCCTAGGAAAAGACAATGAGGGTCACAACCCCAGGAAGCCCAGCAGAATGAATCCATTGGGCAAGCCAAGAAATTAAATGTAAAGGGGGAGAATCCAACAAAAAGAAAAAGTCATGACAATGATATGTCAATACATATCAGTTATAACCATCAATGTTAATGGTCTCAATTCACCAATCAAAAGAAATAGACTGGCAGAATGGGTCAAGAAGCAAAATCG